TGTTCAGGGTTGTGAGTGATTGTGGGTACAGATAAGTGTAGTGAGTGCCTTAGCTCCAGACCAACACCCAGGGTTAACCTTAAGGTCTAACAATCATAAGGGTGACTCATCATGAGTTTCCCCCATAGTGACCCCACTTGCTAAGTACATAGAGGTTGAGAGCAATATGTGGAACTCCAGGTTGAGTAAAGAAGATGGTAGAATTTCTAATAGTGAGGGTTCCAAGTCTATTTTTTTAGGAATAGTCAACAGGAAAAGTCCTATGGCTAGACCCTAGGCTACTAAAGAGGAAAAACTAAACCTCAACCAAAAATGAGGTCAACAGTCACTATAGTCACATCTCCTTTCTTTGGAACATAGTGAACATGTTAATCCTTGTTGTAGGATTAAAATAATCTCTTAAAAGTCTCTGATGATGTTCATTTCTAGATTTACTTGAGTTGCAAGCCATTCTGCTAGAATTATCTATCTTATCTATCTATTTTTGCTGTTTTCAAATTTTTCTAATTGTTCTTTCAACTCTGAATTGTAAGTTACTAATTCTTTAGATCTTAAACTACACATAAACAAACACAATAAGCAATTAAAATAAACAAAACACATAAAAATATGAAAATATTCAAAATATACTACAAACAGTTATACTATTTTTTTAGTTTAAATAAAATATTTTAAACTATTAAATAATTTATCAATACTTTCCGTTACTTCCCTAACAACGACGCCAAAAACTTTATGCACGGTTTTTGTGTGTTATTTTTATAAATATTTTTCAATACTATAAAACACACACCCCCGACAGTGCTAATAATAAATATACAATTCAAATCCAAATAAAAATGACTTTAGTAAAAATAATTTTTTTCTTTTAAAATCTTTAAACTGCCAAACACGTAATAATAATACAAGTATATGTATCGCTCAAGTAATAAAGAGCTCTAATGGAGTCCTAAATATTGATTCCACAGAGAAGTTGGAAATGCTTATGAATAAATTCTTATGATTATAATGTAAAACAAAATTTAAACCACAAAATTGAAGAGTGAAATTTAAACTTAAAGTAATTGAGGTATGCTAAATAAAATGCAGTTAAAAAAACTAAGTTAATTAAACTAATTGCTAAACTTCAAAAGTTAACTTATGAAGACTAAATAAAGTTTCTGAGACAAAGAGTTCAAATTTAAGAAAACATAATATATATATAACTATTTTGTGCCAAATAGAAGCAATCATATTCTTTACCCTCTTTCAAATACATAAAGAACATTGACTAATCCAGAGTTTGGTCCCTAATTCCGTGGTTAGACTGGGAGGATTCCGACTACCACCTCAGAGCCCTCACTACTCCTTTGCCTGAGGGCTAACAATCTTGTTTTAGTTTCCAATCAACAGGACCAAATTCAAAAGTTTAATCTGTCACCTCAAAATCTCTATTTCTGCATCCAACAAAGTATATTTCCCTATTTATTTGCACTCAATCCCATGGATGACATCCTCTCCCATGGAATCAAATGTGACTCTCACCATGTTGTAGAAATCATAACCCTTTCAAATCATATGTTTCTCAACACATTTTAACTTTTTAATTGACCAGATCAAAAAGTAAATGAAGATCGGAGTTCAAATCATCACAAATTATTGACATTTAAAACTGTATAAAATAAAATCAATTCTTCACAAAACCATATCTAAGAGAAGGGAGAAGGATAAAGAAGACTACTCAGAATTCATGAGATGGATATGGCAAAACGTGGATTTCATATAAAAAAAAATAAGTTTATAAAACAAAGAAATAAAAAACACAACTTATCTCACAATCGTTCCTAAGTAAATCCCTATAAGTTTTCTTCAACCACTTTCTCTCTTTAGAAGCACTCTTAATTCTCTATTGGAAATGTAATGAAAGAGAAATCTCTCACTTTCCCTCTCCTTGTACAAACCTTGAAGAAAATCTCCAAGTCTTTGACTTTCTCTCTCTCTCTCTCACCAAACCCCTCTTTCGAATCTCTCTCAATCCTCCATTTTCAGCCCTAGACTTCCCTCTCTTTTATTAGAGGTTGCCTCTCTCCAAAAAGAATTCGTCCCGAACCACCTTAATTCATAAAAAGTCATCTCTAGCACTTCAGGCGCTGATTCTGGCGCTTAAGGAGCCAAATTGCTTTAAGAACGTGTTGTTTTGGGTTTTAGCGCTTCAGGTGCCGATTCTGATACTTCAAGCGCCGCCTTTCTGTAAAGTGGCACCTCAGGTGCCAAATCTGGCGCTTCAGGCGCCATCTCTCAGTAAAGTGGTGCTTCAGACACCAATCTGACGCTTCAGGCATCATATTCACAAAATTCACTATTTTGGCTCTAAATTTCATTCTTTTTGCTATTTTTGCTTTAAATGCCTAAAATTGATATACCTGCAACAAAAACATGAAAATACCCTTCTTTAAAGTGCAATATCACCAAAAATAAGCATAAAATGTATGCTTAAACAAACACATTTTTTTGGTGTATCACTACTCCTGAAGGATCTCCCTATTCTCAGCCTTAGAAGGAGGAGATTTTACAACTGTCTAAAAACTCACACCAATCTCCCTAAATTCACCGATCATAGACCTATTAGCATGAATCCTTCAACCACAATTCAACAATAGTAAAAAAACCATTACATAAACATAATATATACTTCATTTACAGCCTCATATACCACTCCACGACTTTGTAATAACTCCCTACGACAAGCTCCAGAACCACTGAAAACTGCATCAGGCGGTTGCTGGCCCTTAAACGCCTTGGGGATGGCACCTAGGCGTCAGTCTTTTAGTTTACATAGAATGCCCATGGTGCCTTGGCGCCCAAGGGAGCAGCGCCTAAGTGCCAATTTTGCGGAGCCTTGGCGCCAAGTGAGTGGTGGCTAAGTGCCACCTTCTCGATTTGTCGGATGCCTAGGCACCCATGGGTCTTGCGCCAAGGCACCAGTCCTCCATTTTGCTCCTTTGCTCCAAATTCCCTCCACATTGCTCCACTTTTCAATGCCTATTGTACCTGCAATGAAAACATGAAATTACCTTTCTTTAAAATACAATTTCATCAAAAAAGATGTGAAAAACATAAAGGAATTTAAACGTTCTTTCATCAAAAAAGATGTGCAAAACATAAAGGAATTTAAACGTTTTTTTCTACACATCATCCTATAAATTATCACCTGTGACATTGTTCTTTTGAGGGTCATTAAATTTACCTCCTTTAATGACGTTGAAGGAATAGTAGAAAAAGCATTAGATACTGACACAATTTGCCCTAGAAAACTATCATCTAAAATCCCATCCTCCTCTATTATCTTGTCTGTAGCATCATTATGATTCTCTCCATTTTCAACGATAATGTCTAGTATCACCGTATAAACAGGATTAAACGCCTCTTAGGTGGTAGACCATTATTAGAAGGTTAAGTAGAATTATATTTTCTCAATTTAGAATGTACCATAAAACAAAGGTCCAAAGTATGGCCAAACATTATGCATTTATTGCAGTAGTGTGGCACAAAAACTACATCTACCAAGTTGTTAGTAACCAAACTTAACCCTAACCAAATTGAATCTGGGAAGGGGAGTGTTATATCTCTTTCAATAAGCACTCTAGCAAAAGATGGTCTAGTAATATTATAAGTGGAAATATCTATTTTCATTGGTTTGCCATGTGTAGCACCAAGGCAGTAGAGAACTTGCATATTGAAATAATGTAACTTGAGGTAAATCTAAACTACATAGGGACAATTGAGGACTCTTTTTGAGGGTTAAACTTCACAGTCCATTTAAGTACTTTCATGTTAGCTCCATAAATGGTGAAATGCTTTCTGGAAAAAAATCTGGGTATAATCAATCTCCATTTCAAGCTTTATCATTGTGTTCCTCCCATCAATCAAACTCACATTCCATTCTCCGTCTAATTTGACATAAGAAAAAAGCTTTCTAATAACTTCAATTTTTTGTAGTAAGTAAACTTATCAATCAAAGTAATTTTAGAGGCCCAACATTCAGAAAAGTAGATGACAGGTTTGTCATTTTTCCTTAAAGTTTTTCTCAGAAAGTTAGAAGCGGGACTAAGTTCAAATTGTTCATGATATTTCTGTAAAAAATGCAACTTTACTGTTTCAAGTCTAAGAGCTTCTTCAGGTCTATTTCCTTCAAGAACATCAAGGTAAGAAGGCTTATCCATACTAAAAGGAGATCACACAATCAGCGCAAAGAGCAAAGAGCAGAAAACCAGGCAGAAACTAATGGAATCGTAAAATAACTATTCAATGGAACAGAAGACACAAATGAGTATGACCACGAACAGGGCAACACCAAAACAACAGAGAAAAAAGTCAAAAATAAAAGATAGCGGTAGAAAAACCAAGAAACAAAGAGACAAAGAAAAACTGCCTCCATTTCTAACCCTACCTGCAGAACTATATATATATACCAAAAGTGTCGCGTACCTCGACTTGTGGTTGACAACTACAATTCAGTTGTAAGTCTTTCGAGGTATGGTGTTCGAATGTCCATCTGACGACCGTCTTTTTTTGGAGGCAAAAGTTATATATATATATATATATATATATATATAAACATACATGCATACATACATGCATAAGCACAGACACCTTATATATATACGTACATACATACGCTTACCACCGTGCCAAAGAATTGCACGGAGGAAAACGAGGGAGGGACACGAATCGGGTGATAGTCGTTGCAACACTCTCACCCGGGCACTGACGAGGAAGAAGAGAGGGGAATAGATGACAGGTCAAAGTTTTAAGAAAGGGAGAGGCAAGCAGCAGGAGAATCATGCCTTTCTGAAGGAGTCCTCGCGAGTTCGAGTTGGGAAAATCCTTGAAGCGTTCCGCGAATCCGATGGAGAAGGTTTTCACTTTATTTTGAAGCAGCAAAACTGCATCCTTTCCGTTTCTGCGGCTGTTTAACATTTCAGTGTTTAGGTTTCAATTTTTTTTTTATTCACATGCGGGAACATGCTCTCTGGGTAGTTTGAGCGACAGATTATTCACATTCCCTCTACTGCGTTTTCTTTTTCAGACCTGTTTTTTTCCTTAGGCTTTAATATGGAAGCGATAGCTATTTGTAGTGGCTTGTGCGTCTTGGAACTACGAATATGATGATCTTTGGAAGCACATGAAGTGATTAGCAATTTTTGGGACGTAAATTAATTATCAATTAGAAATAGACCTAAAAAACGGAGAAGTGATGAAGAAACTCGTGTGGTAGTGGCTGATAGCCTGACATTAAAACTGGAATATCATGCTTGTATACCTGAAATCTTTTAGCATGTTTGCTGATTAGTTTCAGGTAGATGGAAATTCACGGTAAAAATATAGTTATTCTTGGAACTGCTTTTGCTATATGGTTGTCCGTAAGTGGGGATGTGCACTTCAATGGGGGAATTGATACAGGACTTTTAGACTGATTCGGAACAGTGTTGCCCAATCCAGGTTGGATTGCGTAAATATGCTATTCTTATCATCCTTATAAAGTTATATGCATTTGCTATCTACATTCAAAACACAATGATACAAACTGTCATAGAATTGACTCATGTGCTGCCACTTCTAGCTACTTCCTGTCGTTTTCTAAGCTGCAGAACATTACGTAAATGAGGGACAACCTTTTGCTAGCATGTGGAAATAGTTAGAGAGATAAAGTGTTTTTCTTACTTAATTTATGTCTTTTATTAAATGATGGATGCTGCACATTTTCAATTCGTTGAAGCTAGAGTGGAAACATCACTTTTGAAGAAGCTTTTTGATTATCTTTTATTAATTTTCAAAATTTGTGGAACTTTTCTTTTTAGTTTTTGTTTGGATATGTACAAAGTGAATGGTGATTATGGAGAGATATGCAGATCTCCAAATCTTTGAGCCCTTTAAAAGCTAATTGATTGAAGGATGGAAGCTAAAAATTCATTTGAGCTTCTTTCTTGGTTGAATTGAATTGTCATATCGATGTTTAATCCACCCAACATTTGCTTTACTCCCTTATTTCAAATCCTCATCATATTGGGGGGTGCCATTCTTCAATGCATAACACAATGAGATGGTTGGTTGTTGGTTACCAATCCATCATGATTCAATAATGATCCTACACATCTCTACAGAGAGATCAAAGTAACCCGATAAAAGGTCATCTTGGTTTAATCAAACTAACTTTAGATTCAAAGTTAGTTGGCTAGCACCCAATTGGCAGCACATATTCTGAAATGACTTGATCACATCACTGTTTGGCTCGACATTGACTAACTCACAGAGCAACATCCATAATAACATTGTATATATATATATATATATATATATATATATATATATATATAAAGAAGGAAAGAGCCCATGGATTATTCCCTTGGCATCAATCACATTGCCTAAATTGATGAAATGTTGGGATAGTTAGGGGAGTTCTTTACATTTATTATTGTAATTATTTGTTCCCTTTTCCCTTTCTTTGTAGCTTTGTGTTCGAATACACTTTGAAAAAAATGAGCAACCTAAGCATCCCTAACTATTTTTTTTTTAATGTCATTGGATTTAGACTGAGATCCAATTTTTCAACCTTTGGTTTTATTTTTTTTTACGAAGTCTGGTTTCATTGGACTTTTCTCTGAGAAGTCAATCATTATGAATGATGAAAAAGAGGTTTAATGAAGTGTTTTGAGAGATTAAATGCTGCATATCAATTGAATGGAAGAATCTATTTGAAGTGGTCTCAAATTATGAAAGCTTTCCTAAAAGCAACTGGAATTGTCCACCATCTTATGGATCTTCTCTAGAGTTGAGAGACTCACCATGTATAACTTTCTGGTTCGCAATTTAATAGTGAGAATTGCTATATATTAATAAGACATAAATATAAAGAAAGTCTAATTACTACATAAATCCAAGTTCATTATATAAAAACAACGATACAAACACGATTCAAACAAATAAACATATACATCGGTTCTAAACAAACAAACATACATAAATCCTACATAAAATGATAAGTAGATATAGAAAAATGGACAAATAAACATAAACATGCAGACACACAACTAGGGGTGTAAATAACACGAACGAATAGAGCTTGTGTTCGTGTTCAGTTCGTTTGAAATTTAGTTTGTTTGAAATAAGTTCGTGTTTGAAATTGTTAGTGAAGTCACTGTTCGTGTTCGTTTCTTAATGAACGACCCGAACACGGGTTGAACACGAGCTGTTCGCGAACAACAAGCCAGTTTGACATCCCTAATATTAACATATATAAATAATATTAATTATATTACTTATATTATATAAATATTATATATATATGTATATCAGTAAATTACTAATATAGTATATTTATATATTATTATTATTATTTTATTATATATTATAATTTATAAAATATATTTTTTTAAAATATCATAAATTTTAAATTATTTTATATTTCAAACAATACCGATTCGAACACATCACTGTTCGTGTTTGGTTCATTTAATTAATCGAACGAAAAAAATTTGTTCATGTTCATCTCGTCTACTTATCAAACGAATCGAACACAAATTCAATGACGAACCGAACACGAACTGTTCGCGAACAACGAGCTTTTTTGACAGCACGAAAATTCAATGACTAACCACTTACATATATTCTCATCATGTAGGTCTTATTATCACTTAATAACCACACAATTATAAAACTTTACAACAAAAAAATAACATAAATCAATCCACACAGATAATTATGGGTTGCCTTTCACGAAGCGCTTGATTTATTGTGGTCGACCCGACGTATCCAATGTTAACTTTGGTTAACCCAACATTAGAATTTTATTCAGCTCAGGCCTGTTGCTGCCTTGATAAAGTTGCCAATTTACCTTAAACGCTATTAGTTTTTGGATCTTTGATATCCACAACTCCAAATGGGTAGACTTTAATTACAGTAAATGACCCCGACCACCTGGACTTGTGTTTTCCGGGAAATAATTTCAATCTTGTATTATATAGCAAAACTTATTGTCCAGGTTTAAAATCTTTTCTTAAAATCTCTTCCGATCATTTCAAATTTTCATCTTTTCCTTATAAATTTTCGCATTCTCATCAGATTCATTTTTAATTTCCTTGAGTCACTTTAACTGAAATAATCGTTTCTCGTCAGTATCTTTTAAATTATGATTAAATTTCTTTACATTTCAGTAAATTTTATGCTCAAGTTTTATTGACAAATGAATGCCTTTCCAAATATAAACCATATATATGGTGACATTTCTATAGAAGTTTTAAATGCAATTCTATAGCCCCATAATGTATTATCAAGTCTAGCAAACTTGATAATAATATAGGATGCTGAAAAATTAGGATGACCTAATAACCTATAATGCTACAATATGATATCCTTATCTTTAGAAACAAAAAAACATAATTTTAAACAATACTTTGACATTGTTATTTTAGTTAAGCCCATCGTCAAAATAACAGAGTCCAGTTTTTTCTTAGCTTTGTCAATCATCTCTGTGGTCAATTCCTAAAAGGCACAACAAAAAGAATAAAAAATAGTTTGAGATTAATTATCAATACTAATTTTAGTAATGGAAAGTAAGTTACACGATAGATTAGGAATATGAGGAACATTCTGAAAATTGCGAAGGGTTAATAACAAGGAGAGTTTGATAATTCCTATCCCGACAATACCAAGAGCGAACATCGATAATTTTGATCTTTTTATTTCCTGCACAAGGTCTATAAGAGGAAAATAATTTGGAATAATTAGTCATATGATCAGTTGCACCAGATCAATTATCCAAGAATGAGTAAAATTAGGAACAACACCTAACAAAACAGCGGCTAAAGAGTTACCCTTCTTTGATAAGGAGCAAGAAGGAGTTGTGGACAATTCTGGAGATTAAAATAATTTATGCGAGTGCTCTAATTGCGTCTTGGTGAAAGGGGCTGCATTCGAGTTAGCAGAAGGCTCTTGAGTTTCCTCTGCAATGGCTTAATAAGTTTGATCTTCACCCTTGGATTTTGATTTCCAATTTACAAATTTATCATGAAATTTCCAATTTGCAGGTTTACCATGAAATTTTCTAACATGTCTCTTTTGTGTGACATGTATTTTGTAATGCTCGCACTATAGTTTCTTACACATTTCTTTGTCGGTAGCAAGCTCTTTAAACACGAGCAGAGTTTTATTGTTTAATGTTATAACTTATAAGATGATTCGATATTGCACAACATAATTTTTCTTCCTGACTCTTCATGCTTAATTTTTGAATTTTTTTTTTAAATCGAGGGTAGAGATTTGCTACCAAGGATTCGATCTTAGAGTACATTTAATTTCTGATTAAGTTTGACTAAGAACATGTAGAACCGGGCATTTTCCTTTCGCTTCTTGTGTTGAACATAATCATTTTAATTCTCTCAAATGTCATCATAGCATTTATAATGCTCTTTTCATAATAATACTAACTCATTGTAGTACGTAGTAACATCAAGGTCAGTTTGTTTTGATTTTCAAAGTTGATTTTTCAACTAAAGTTTATGAAGATAAATTCTTCAAGTCTGAATAGAGAGCTTGAACGACCTCCTAGAAATCTTGAGCAATGAGAAATAATAGATGAGGTTTTTTAATGGTAGGGTCCATGTAGTTGATAAGCCATGCCATTACCAGATAATTTTTGAATTGCTATTTTTTTTGATTCGGATCACTAGCAGTAGGTTCTGAAATTTCTCGGGTTAAATACCCAATTTTGACTCTTTCTTCGAACATCAATTTAATAGATTGAGCCCACTTGAGATAGTTTTGTTCATTAAATTTTATAATTGTGAGGTAAGGTGGTAAATTATGAGGAAAATACTTAGTCGATACAACCATGGGAAGAACTGTAGGGTAAGGTGAGGTGATTTCAGAATTTCTGAAACCGATTGTTGTGATATAATTTTTTTGAACTCCCATGATCATTACTGATTTGTACGACATCCTCAGATTCTGAGAAGCGTAGCACATGTGCTGTGGCTACCTCATGGGAAAGAAGAAACCCACCCTGGTTCAGATACGGGTTTAGCCCATGCAGCTTCGGCCATTCTATCGATGCTAGAGGAAGGACAAAGAACGATAGTTAGATTGGAGCCTCAAATCAGGCGATGTTGGTCTCTAAATGTAATGATCCTGTCGTTTCCTTCCCGGCTAGCTTTAATCACAATTGTATCGAGAGTCTTTGAACACTACGGTCCAATCATTGCCTTCCCATGTAGCTCTAATTGTGACTATATCGGGAGTGGCCGATCACGAAGACGATGATATTGAGCGAACCCGAGAGGGACAAGAGCGAAGTAAAGGCTTCTAACAAGGGAAAACCCCACAAATGACCAAATCGACGGATTTGATCGTAGTTTTGAAGGTAATTGGCGGCTCTGATACCATGTAGGTTTTGGGAGGGGAAAACATTTATTCATCTTCAATTCATAGAAAACAATTGTAAGATACATAATGGGGGATGATTCCCACATTAAGAAAATCATAAAATAAGCCATAACTCCCAATGATAAAAGAAGGAAACCGGAATTATTACATGCCAATAATTCTAAATTTTAAAAATATAAAACGCTAAAATAGACGTGATAAAATTAAAATTTTCCTAAAATTCCAACAGTCCTAAACTGATCACTTGCGAAATTCTGCTTTTATTTGTCCCCTAGGCGTGAAGGTTCTTATTAATTGCTAGAGATTTTTGTAGACATTAATATATGCCAGACAAAATGATATTTTTATTCTTGTACTTACGCATCATGCATTTGATTCAATTTTGTCTGCAAGGCTTACGAACCAGGGGCTTAAAAAGTCACGAAATGGTCAATGAATTAGTATTTGTTTCAGGTGGGTTTGCTACTCCATTAATATTTGTTTCGTGCTGAGTCATAAAGCCACACGAAGCTGTTGGAGTTATGATAATGATGATAGTGATGGTGTTCATCTCTTGTTCGCTGTCTGTTTTTATTTAACAAGTATATAACCCTGCCAGCATCGTTTAGCATAGTTTTTGTGATTGATACTAATTTCAATTTTTGTGTTTAGAACTTCGTTGGATGATATTAAAATTAAATATTCTTGTCTCAACCGAGTAATTAAAAAATGCTAATTATGGCTATATTTTCATCATCATTACATTGCTGTCTTTTTGGATCTTCAGTTTACACATTTGAACCTGATTTATCAAAAAAAGAGCGGGCAGCAGTTCATGAAATGTGCAGAAAAATGGGAATGATATCAAGAAGCTCTGGGTGAGTATTTAACTCTCTGATCTTTAGTTTATTTGGTTTTATAATGATATGCATCTATCTTGATTAGTTTAGAGTAAGACACGATATTTTGTGCTGGATGGGCATTTTGTTTTCATGCTTTTGTGTCTGCATTATATACATCTAATTGATATGATAACTGGAAACGCCCACAAAGTAGCGCTGAATCTCTTGCATGAAATATTTGGGTAAAGACAGAGAAAGTTGAATTGCTAACATGCTAGTAACATAACAGTAGATTGCCAGCAGAATAGTTTGTTTATTTCGCATAGGGAAAATAGAATAATTAGTAGCTTGTATGCATAGAAATGCAAAGGAGCCAAATTAAGGAAAGGTGAGAGTCCTTTGCAAGTGTCATTAAGTTTTTTTTGCTAGGATTTTAATGAGGAGATAGAGATATGCCAGAATGTCTCCTGAATATATAGATGGACAAATTAGGACACTGGTCTCTCTCACTTTCTAGAGGCATTCAATTTGCCAAATACAAGTTTGAATTCTTTTGGTGAATTTTGTCATATGTTTGTCAAAATATGTGTGTGCAACGTTAGTCCTTATCCTAAAATTAACCCTTAGCCTTCCATATATGGATGGTTTTAGAGAAATGTAGCAATAGGAAAAGAGTTTTGAGGGAAGACGATGTTAAGGAAACAATGGTTATGTTTTGAGGTAGTTAACAAAATCAAAGTTACATACTTTGATGGTTTGTTTAGCAGTCGAGATAATAAAGAAGTTTAGAAAGAGATATATAAAATATCTAGCAATATGTTGATGATTTTAAGATTTTGACAACGTGCGTTGCATTAGTGTCGAGCATAACAAGATATAAACTTTAGATGATGATCTCTATGAAATATAATATCTAGTTTTTTATTGAATGATTCCTTATAGATGAAATTTTAAATATGAATGTTGATTAATGATAATCACTAATTATATTGCAAATTTATCTCGAAAAACAAAATTGGACCAACTTTGATGATGATTTCAGAGCTTCCAGACCAAACCAATTAAAATGTTATTTTAAATTTGAAGAGTCATGGAGATATGAGAATAGTCTTGAATAAATCTTTTAAATGAAATTCTAAAGCTTAAGTGAATACTAAATGATTGGAGATCATTTTGCAAGTATTTAAAAATAATTAAGATGTTTAAAATTATGATAATTAATCATAATGGAATTGAGCATATGACTCAAGTTATTTGAGAGTTTCATGAAGCATAGAGTTGAAAAATCATGTCAGTTGAGTAACCAAATAATTTCTGTTCCTTAATAGCATATTGAGTTTATATTTGTGCTAAGAAAATTATAAAAAATAATTAATATTAATGTATTTTCATATGGCTTTTATTTTCATTAAAATTTGATAGTGTGATTCCATGAGAATTGATTTTGGTAAGCAAAGGAGAAAGTTGTTTGTCAAAGGAATGTCAAAATTATTTGGGGATATGCACGATGCAATGATGATTAGTATTTAAATGTAGTTGTGGAGTGATCAAATGATTTATTGTCTATTGAGAATCACATTAAAGGTCAATATTAAATCATTATCCTTTTTATTGGTTATGTAAATGGTTACAAAGGATGTGTAAGGGTGCATGCTATTTGCGAATGTAGTATTGATTTGAAGCACTGCTTAAAAAATTTAGAATAATGGATGGGGTTTTTAAAAGTTAAGGGGCTTTTGATAATCACAAGATGTAAATGTGTAACTTTGATTGAATTTGAAAGTGATATCACACATCCATTTTAGCCTGACAATTTATAATAGTGTCAAATTAGTCACCAGACTATTTAAATTTGGGCTGAAACATTCTCTGTTGGGACTATTTCATGCCCATATTACAAGAGTTTGGGAATTAAATTAATACTTTTATGGACTGCAGGACTAAAATGACCCCCTGAAAAGAATCGGGAGACTATATTGACGCATCTCTCTCTCTCCCTCTCTATATATATAGTTTAGTGGTTTAAGTTTTATAATTAAATTTTTAATTAAAATGGAGAAATACTTAATTAGTGGAAATAATTTACGAGTGCCATATTACATGTAGCATGTTGGTAACCCATTATGATGCTCCAAAACAATTTCATATGAGAAGTAAAAATCAATTATGATGTTATTTACATAATTGAGTTTTGTTTTTTTTGCTCATAAATTTATCTTTTATGTTATTATTTTATAATAGTTTCCAATCCTATTATCAGGGCTGTGAATTTAGCTCGAAGATCGTTAATTGTTCGAAGATTGATTTGAATTTTGCCTCGACTCGAGATAGGATCGAAATAAATGAGTTGAGTTACGATCCAAAATTTTGGATCGAATATTCAAGCTGACCCTAGCTCGGCTTGAAATCAGATTGTTAACAGATTATGACTGGGAATGTAGTGAATTTAGCTCAAAGATTGGTACTTGCTCGAAAATTGATTCAAATATTTGTTCGGATCGAGATTATATAAAAATTAAACGAGTTGAGCTACGAGCCAAAATTTTGGATTGAATTTTTTTGAGCCGACCACAGCTTGGCTCGAAATCAGATAGTTAACAACCCTACTTGTCATCCCAAACATGAATGAATGTAATATGAATATATGAATATATATATATATATATATATATATATATATATATATGTG